GGCCAAGGGGGTTCCGGCCGCATTGCGAAGATCGGGTATTGCGGCGGCCATTTTGGAGCCGCCGAACAGCTGATCGGCGGTTCCAAAATGGCTGCCGGAAGGCCGGAAATGGCTGCCGGCAGCCGTTTTCGCGCCCTGCCCTCGCTTAGCGAAGGCGCGAAAATGGCTGCCGGCAATTGGAATCCTCGCTGAACGGGTAAGTAAGAAAGGTATTGGAACGCATTAAACTAAGTTTAATGCGTTTCAATACATTTCCCCTACCCGTTTAGCGACGATTTCACATAGCGAGGGTTAATCCGGAACGGATTAACCTCGCTATGCGGGGCACCATTGTATTTTCTAGTCTGGTTAAGGCACATCCATAGTAAATAGGCCTGCCTGCCTGCCGGCCTTCCTTCTGACAGTAGCCTGCAACACAGACATGGGACATGTAAACTTTTTCTCTAAATCCTACAAAATTTTCCAAACTATTGTTAGGCAAAGTAATAGGTTTCTAAAAATGTGGCAACTATGGTAGTACCTGTATACACACCAAAGTTACACATCTCTTTGACTCAAAATATGTTTACAGGCCGTCTTCCTCTACCACCACCGGCACCTTGTTGGAGTCAACTGACCAAGGTGATCTTAGTGCTACTAGTATGAAGCTCTGCCTGTTTCACATTTCTTCATGCAAGGTGGCAGGGATAAGCCACTCCTTGAGCATTTCACATATTCTGAAAGCCCCATAAGGACTACCATACTTCAGAAGTGACTTGATAACACATGAGAACAAAACAGTTATTCTCATCATAGAGAAGGCCATGCCATATCTGCCTGTCATACAGCTGCTCAAAAGAAAAGAGTGGCAACCCTAATTCAGCACCACAAATATGACTGAATGCACAGGGGTTCAAACCTAAACATTCACAAATTCAGTTCCCAAAGCCCCATGGATATTAGTTTTACTTTCTCCCCCATTCAAATGATTTTCAGTCTCCAGCTCTTTCCATCCTCAATACGAGGACCATTGCAAATTTATTTCAAATCCATCCTGAATATGAATTTGCAAATTCGCATCAAAAACAAACTGAAATGAAAATTTCACCCATTTCGACTGGTATGGCATTGGACATTGCTGATTTTACTTCTCTCTCCCCTCCCATCCTAATTCTTAATTTATCATTGTGTGCTAACTCCAGCTCCCTCAAAATTAGATTTCTGCTTCTGAACAAAGTAAAGATGGATGCAATTAAAGCATCTGTGCTTAGGAAACAAAAAGAAGGCAAAACAACATGAATTACATTTTATTGATTTTTCCTTTGCTGGCAGAAAATAATCACAGGCATGTCAAGTGACATTGTAAAGAATGTTCAATTATTCTGATTCACAGATAGGATCCTAACTTACATGGATACTTACAGAAAATAATTATATTAAAGCCTCAAATGGAGTTTCGTTTAAAACTCACAGACAGCGAGGCGGTAATTGTTGCATGGTTTGTCATTCCAGGTGCCATCACTGTACATTTCCACACATTTCTCTGTTCCTTTGCCCTTTGGTTCACCTGGATACCAATTTGTATAATTCAGGGGGTTCCCATTTAAGAACCAGAATTCTCCTGGGACACGTCCCTCTGTAATCCCTAAATAAGGATAGGTATCAAATTGTTTTGCAAAGCTCATAATAGCATGGTTCTCCTCCCTGTTGGTTGGAGTTGCAATATTACCATGAGCTGCTTTGCATATTTTTACTATGTTGTCGAACTCCGCTGTCTTCTCAGTACTGGCAAACAGTTTATTGCCAGCAATTGAAATCATTCCACTCAAAGCCAAAGCTGCAAAACAAAACAGAAGTCATTGTTAGAATCACTGGAGATTTTCCTTATCACTTTTTGGGTTGAATTTAAATAAACCATGGGATTTACAGACATCTAGCCTGTGATATTTTGCTCCTCTGAGACTGATGACTCCCTCTCTCCTAAGTCAAGATGAATTGCTGCTGCATGAGAGTGCTGCATGAGAGTGCAGTACTGATCTTGTGCTAGCAGAGCAAATTAACATTCTACAAGGAAATTCTAAAAATGGGGGCATCACAAATAAAAAATATATATTACGTTCAAACTGGACTTCAGATTAGCAGTAATTTAGCAACAATGTAACAGACAGTCTGCTCTTGTTCTGTTTCAGTTGGGGGGACTTTGGGACAAGGGTTTTTGAGTAATGATGTTTTAAAAGTAAATCTATTTTACACCCAGTTCAGAAATACGTGACCCTAAATGCCTACAGTTTTAAAATAGCTCATATGCATTGAAAAGACAAATTACGGTATACTTATCTTGAAAAAGAATGGTTGCACCTATCTGCTTTTTAAAAAATGTTGAAGGAATACAGGGTGTAGGTGCTGAAATATTGGTTTCCAAAAATGCCTTTCAAAAGGGAGAAATAGTGATTTCTTATCATAGTGAGCAAGAATTTTGCAAAGTAGATACATTGTTGCAGCTTGGGGCAGGAAAGGGAGATATTTGGAGAGCTTAGGGAAATTAAAGGTCACCGAACAGGTATTTTCTTTAAAGAATTAAAAAAATGCTTACTTTAAAGAAAATGTCCCCTTCAGAAAAGAGGACATTTTGCCATGGATCTTCATGAAATTAGCACACTAATTTGTAAGGCATATTTATAGCATTTCTGCATTACAAAAGCACAGAGCAGTTATGTTTGACCTAGTCCTGAATGCTTTCAGTAAACATTCTCTCAGGATTTTTTGATTCCAGGCTCCTGACACTGTTCTTCAAAGGAGAAATCAGTGCCAGGTCTGTGGCAACTTGAATTTTTGAATTTGTAAATCAGAACCCAATTTAATTTTAACTTCTTCCTGGCCAGACAGGTATTCATGCTTGCAAAGGGATTCTGTGTCTCATTCCAAAAATATTTAAAAGAAAAATTAAAAAATAATAGAAAAGAAATACTCATAAGTTCAACTTGTTTCAGCTGTCAACTTATTGTATTTTCCTTGGTAGTTGGGGATGGACTTACTTAATGTTAACAGAGCTTTGGTACCTATATCTTGTCATAGTCTCAACCATGCCACCCATTTTATCACTATACATTTGCATGGTCATTAAAAAAAGATCTTATGTGCCATCAAGTCACTTCTGATGGGTGATGGCTTTATGAGTTAATGAACTCCAAAATACGCTATCATTAACAGGTCTGCTTGGATTTTACAAACCAACAGTATTTTGTTTTTTATTTTATTTATGTTTCAACTTTTATTTATTTATTGTTTCAACTTTTTTTGTAATGGAGCAACTCTGTAACTATTGTTTCAACTTATATACCACCCTATAGTGCTAGAGCATTCTCTAGGTAGTTTACAACATAACTGTGCAAATAAAATTTTGCCTGAACTGTGTACTAATTTTGCCAACCTCAGAAGGATGGGAGATCAAGTGAACCTTGAGCTGGCTCCCTGAATCTGTTGTATCGAACTCAGTTCATGAACAGAGCTTGACTGTAGTACTGCAGTTTAACCACTGTGCCACGGGGTTCATGCTAGGTTGTTTTCTTTTCCTACTGCCCAGCAATATTTTCTGGTCAGTTCTCTATTTCCTTTATATGTGCATGGTAGGATAGCTTTAGCGTGTTCATTTTTTCTCTAGAGAGAGTTCAGGGATTGAACAACCAATTATCTGTTTTCTTGTTTGTCTGTGGCATATGTAAGGCTCTCCTCCAACACCAAATTTCAAGTTGGTTGATTTCCCCTCCTCCCTTCCTTTTGCTGTCTTTCTCTTACATAGTATGAATAATTTTCACACTTGTTGAAAAACTGGATGAGTCATTCTGGAGATACAGTGCAACAAAGTAAATTCCAAGCTCTGTTTTGCTATGCCTGTCTCTAGGACCTAGTTATGTATTTCATAACTAGGTACAAAAAGGAAGTACGATTTGTGAAGTACAGTTTTAAAGTTCTTGCATGAAATGCTCTACCTGCAGAAGTCCTCATTCCACATACATTTAGAGGTACATACAATATCTGTTTCTCCTTGTCTGTTGTTCACTTTTGCCTAAATTCTACTGAAGTGGGAAAGTTATGCATTGTACCAGGCAATGGTGGCTTGTGAACTGTGGTGAAGGAATGCCTAACACATTTGAGGGGGACATCACATGACAGGCTTAATCCTCTTTGAGTGTTTGCTTGTCTAATGCATACAGAATGTGATGATAAATTGTAGAATCTAGGCACAGGTTTACAATGTCAGCATAAGTGGCTCATGATCAGAGGATAGGGAACCTTTCCCCTCCCCCAATTTTAGTATACTACATTTAAAACTAAATTAAACCATGGAAATTTTGAAAAATTAATTGAATTAAGCTTTAAATTATAACTTAAAATATATTGGAGATATCCTAGCTGTGATATGTAATACCCTTTCCACTATTTTTTAAAAAAACAAGATAAAGTTAGGCAGCAACTAGAATAATCAGAATAAGAACAAGAGGTCACCTCCTCTTGAATGTACAAGTAATCGGAGGGGGGGGACTCTTAAAAAATAACAAAGAAACAAACTACCTCTTTCAAGTCTGGCAATTCTGTGTTTGAGTTCCTTGAGATAATTTTGTAATGTAGGATCCCGGGAGGCAGGTAGCCCTGTAAACAAGAACAAGAACATTATTAATTAGTATAATTATAATTGTTAATTGGGTGTTATGATATAGAATTCATTAGATGGAGATAGGACTGGGCCTTAATGACCATCCTGAATATAAACCTATGACAGAAAAATGGGGAATGATGAATAAAGTATAAAGTAAATATAAGTAATTCTGAATGTGTGAGGTTGTTGATGATTTTGCCGTCTGAAAGAGCTTTTGCTGTATTAAATGGATTAGCAGCATAGTAGTCATAGTGATTATGAAACAATATTGGTGGAAAATATACATATTTCTAACACATCTGAAGAAGAACAGCAGTTGTGTCCAATTGTGCACATGCCAGAGTGGGCACCCCCTGGAAATACTATGGCTTATTCCTGAGTAAATGTGCACAGAATTCCAGTGAAAGTGCGAGAAAGTGCTATACTGCAAATGAAAACCAGGAGTTTTGAGATGTTTTTCCCATAATTTTTACTAGATGTTCTTAAAATCAGTGTTGACAAAAAATCTTCCTGGAAGGACAGCTGGTCCTCCAATAATTTGTTGTGTATTATAATGCAGAGGATTGTGGATAACAGCCAGCCAGTGGCTCAAAAGAGGAAGACTGGTAGAGATCAAGGTGGTGAACTGACACTGTAAAATTAAAGGATGTTCTTTTACTGTGGTGTCTGGACTCTGGAGTGTTGACTTGAATTGAGTAGCAAAGTTCATTCTGCTCAAGTACTACAAACAGATGAAGCCTTGAAAGTTTTTCTGTTGTTGTTTTTTAAAGAGTAAATGCTTCCCTCTAGTGGTCCAGAAGTTGAGACTGAGGATACATCATTTAGAATGATCTTCCTAATTCATGAGCATTTTGGCAAGGGCAGAAAACCCTGTCCTGCAGATATTCTGTCCTTCTAGCATGATCCATGACTTATGTATTTCATAGCATGCATGTGACTTAGGGCCTTTTGAATCCCACAGTTATGTGGACTTCTCTTGAGCCAGAGATTTTCACTGAACGTGCCACTAACCCAGAGCTAGAACGTTCAGTTTAGCTGTCATTTTCAGTTCTTATTACTGTTGCTATTACTGGATAATCTTTCTGAGATTGTGCACTGGTAACTATCTATTCTGGTTTCAGGGGGCTGTGCAGTTGAACGATGCTGAACACTGTGTTGCAAAAGTCTAATCTTGACCACATCATTAACTACAGCAGCAGAAACATGATACAGACTAACAAGATGCTCCTAAAAGTGCAAGCAGCAATTTGTAGGAAATAATAGAGGCATGCAACTGAATAAAAATCGAGTCTGCAAATGTCACATTGCACTCTTCTTCACATATAGTTATACAAACAAAATACAGTGGTGCCTTGCTTAACGGCGATAATCTGTTCCAGGAAAATCACCATTAAGCGAAAACATTGTAAAACGAAAATAAAAACCCCATTGAAACCCGTTCAATGCATTCCAATGGGGTAAAAACTCACCCTCCAGCGAAAATCCTCCATACGGCGGCCATTTTCGCTGCCTGTATAGCGAGGAATCCGTCCCTAAACACAGCGGGGAGCCATTTTAATTACCCGGTGGCCATTCTGAAACCGCCAATCAGCTGTTTAAAAATCATTGTTTTGCGACGAATTGGTTCTGAAGCAGTGAACCGATCATCGCAAAGCAAAATTCCCCCATTTAGACCATCGCAATTGCGATCACAAAAAGATCGCCGTAAAGCAGATTCATCGTAATGCGGGGCAATCATAAAGCGAGGCACCACTGTAGCTATTCCAACCTAAGAAAACCACCTCATTCAGTTGCTTATATAAGAAGAGGGAGGACACTGGTCCTTCTCTGATCCCTCAGCCCTTGGAGGGAGTAAGTAGAAGTTGGCAGTAAAGGAGTCTCTCCTTTCCCAATATACTGCCCTTTATGCATAAGATGATGCTGGAAGTGATAATGAAAGGGCAGGGCTATCACAACCCCCTCTCATTTTGCATGTAAAATATTTTTCCATGACAGAATGGGGCTTGCCTGCGTAGAACAAACTACTCAAGCATTCGATCAGCATATGAGGGGTGCCATGCTGATGAACCTGGTGATGTTCATCTCAGCATACACAACCCACTTGTATGTTTATGGCACAAATGATGAAGAGGAAGGGAGATTCGTGCATGCAGTCTTTAGACGGTCCGGAACTGGCAGTAGCTCCACCAACTTTGAATTGTTGTTACTTTTATCTTGTTTGTTTGGCCATTTTCAGTGGTGAGGAAAGGAAATAAAAATGTTATTGAAGGCTGTATGAAAGGAAGATACTATATATGTGCATAGGAAATCTGTCTTTGATAATACTCTGGGCACTGGGCAGTGGCTATTTTAAGAAAATATGAGATATTAGAGGGCTGAATTCACCACAATAGCAAATTCTACACATGGAAATCCTCCTCCATCTCTTGACCACTTCAGGCACTAATACCGACTTAATAAATTAGTGTCATTAATTTGACAGCAACCTTAAGTCCACTAATGATTAATGACAACCTTACTTCACCCGTCTGAATAATAGTAGGTGTTCCAGAAAGATAAAATAGAGTGGCCAATCTTCCATTTAAAATCTTTTAGTAACACCACCCATTTCTCAGCCTCCTCCATCACCCTTGGTGACTCCATACCAATTTAGTCCATGAAGTCCCTTCTAGTGGGTGCCATGTGCCATTCTAGCTAGTGTAGTGAAGTCCATACTAGCTAGTGCCAGGTTTATAAGGGAGCCTAGCCACCCATCACTGGAGTGGATTATGGAACAACAATGCACTGGGAAATTTAAAAAATGGTCACTCCCTGGTTAGGAAAGCCCAGATTAGTCCCAATCTGCTGTTTCCATCTATGCATTGACTGGATACAAACTAAGGAAGTAGGACTGCACCTGTTTGCTCCATCTCAACATCAGACATTCTACTGCCTATAACCCAACATTTGCATATGTGTTTGTGAGACATCTGAAAAGGGAAAATTTGCCGTAAGTGGGAAATCTGTACATTGGGCTTGTCAGTTCATGCACATGAAGAGCGTGGAATCATTACTTTTCTGCACTGCAATTCCTCTTGGCAGGGGAATTCTGGGAGATGTACTTCAAAAAAGTAATGTTTCCAAGCCCTGTGCCTAGGAGTCTCCCATTTTCAGATATTGCTCCAAATGTGCAAATGTTGGGAGCTGGGGCTGGCAGAATACATGATGCTGAGGGTCAGCAAGCACACTTGAACAATGCTATTCCATTACCTGGTGGCCCAGGATTTCCCTTGTCACCTGGTTTACCTTTTGGCCCTTGCGGACCAAGGAGCCCATTTCTTCCAGGAGGACCTTGAAGACCTAATGAAGAGAAAACATGTTCATGGTAAGCTGGCACATTCTTTAAATCACCCACGTAATAGTAGAACAAGCAAAAATGCCCATCCAGACATAAGAAATCCAAAGTTGGTTTAGCCCTCCAGATCTCACCAGCTGGCCATGCCCATCATGTCCTGTTGTCTTCATTGGAAAGTTACCCATCCCTGTTTTAAGCTCAGCTATACCCTTCACTAGTAACGGAAAAACCTTGATGTCAATGCCATTTCCCCCAGGCAAAACACATTCATGAAGTAGATTTTTCAGAGAAACATCGAATCATAGAATAGTGGAGTCAGAAAGGGTCTATAAGTCCATTAAGTCCAACCCCCTGCTCAATGCAGGAATCCAAATTAAAGAATATCTGACAGATTGCCACCAGTGTCAGAGCGCTTACCACCTTCTGAGGCAATCTGTTCCATTGTCAAATTGCTCTAACAGGACATTTTCCCCTGATATTTAGCTGAAATCTGGCATCTTGTAACTTGAACCCATTATTACATGCTCTGTACTTTCGAATGACTGAGAACAGATCCTGACCATCTCCTGTATAACAAATAGAGATGGGGGTATTCATATTCGAATACCCCTGCACAGGTGGACATAATGAGGGACTATCCACTCATCTTCTGCCACTGTTGCGGGCTTTGCACTCCCTTCGTATCACTCCGGAGCACCTGGTCAGCGAGCCACTCTTCGACCTGGCAGCGAGGATTATCATCCTGCCTCCTGCCAGAGGTGGCTTAGTCAGCCATGATCTTCGGAGTGATAGGAAGGGACTGTAGAACCTGCAGCAGCAGCAGAAGGTGGGTGGACAGTCTGGCCCCAGGGGGCCAGACCTTTGTTTGCCCACCTGTGCAGGGGTATTCATATTTGTATACGAATAGCCCCATGTCTAATAACAAACTTTCAAGCATCTGAAGAATGCTATCACATCTCCCCTCAATCTTCTTTTCTCAAGGCTGCCTACTTCCTATTTTCTGAGTGTTAAGTGAAGACTGGCCATTGCTGCTGAGCTATGAGTGGAAGAATGAGCCCACTTCACTGTGGTAAAACACATGGAGGAGGAGCACCAGTTGTCACACCATCTGGGCCCTTGCAATGGTGACACAGGTGCTAAGCTGAACTCTGACCCACCATAACCACCCTGACATAGAAGCAGCTCAGACAAAGGAAATGGTAAAATCAACAGTGGTAGCAGATTCTCCAGGAGCAGGCTGAATTGCTTGAGCTAGGAGACCTTTGTTGGCTGAGTGCTATCGTCCTCTAAAAGATGTGGGCTGGCTGACATCACTGTTACAAAGTCCAGCCTCCGACTGGAGACTCTGGGGGCCTAGTGAATGGAACTGGGGCACATTTGAGGATGGTGAGCAACAGGGAGCTTTTCCCCCTCAGACTTACCCACACACGGCTGCAAAGCATGGCTTGCTACTAGCAAGAGAGCAATGGTTGCAACGACAGGAACCAGCTGGAAGGACAACATCCTGTTCAATCAACCTGAAAAAGGAAAACGTTTTCACTAAGGGTGCACAAAGACCTTCCAATGTACTCTTTATTGAAACAAAGGGCACACTGATAGGAGATAACCCTAACCCAGGGGTGGGCAATTAATTTCTATGGGGGGGCACATGAAAAATCTGAACTGCATTTGGGGCCTGAACCAACATTACTTAAAAATAAAATGAAACAGTGATGTTATGATGGTTTTTATTTTAAACTTGTTAATCTTCACAAAAACTAAAGAGGTTTTTTGTGGTATGTTAAAGATAAGCAACTGATCAACTTTAGACAAAAAGCTATAAATGGTTTTGATGTCTGGCAGGCTGGACAGGAGCGGCTCGCAGGCTGTATGTGGCCCTCGGGCCGCACTTTGCCCAGGTCTCCCCTAACACTTTACTTATGAAACATTCTGATTCACTTTGTCCCCAGAATCCACGACACTGTTCCTAAATTTCCAGTTAAGCAATAATAATCACCCCAGGAACTGGGGCAGGGGATGCAAAAAGCTATGCCCTGGGTGAAATTATGGAGCACCCTAATCACCCTTCCACACTCGCATACACCCCCAAAATCTTAATAGTGCAAAATACTTTGGTAAATCCAGGTAGGTGGGGCTCATCAGCCTGGGAAGGCAGCCCATCTAGGAGAAGGAAAACTCTGATTTCAAACCTCCACTGCCTTGTGGCTACATCCACTTATGGAAAAGGCTTCAGGAGTTAACCTCGAGGCAAAATCTGGAGCTGGAGTCCCAGAGGAAGTTCGTGTCGTTCTGGCAACTCCTGAGACATCACTGGAACCAGCTGTATTGGCTCTTGCCTTTCCATTGGACCATTTCAGCGATGTGGAGAGGGGGGATCTGCTGCTTGGGTAACAGCCTATCCCCTATATTATGTTACCCAGGCTTCATGCTCTGGAGAGGACACTCCAACTTCGCGTACAGCATCGAAGTCCTCCATACAGAGCATGTTACCATAGTCTCTCAAGACTGAAGGATGCCTATGATGACTTTGGTAAAGTTTTGTAAACCAAGCTGAATAAGAGCACAACGGAGAAGAATATTCCAGAACACAAAGAAATTATTGCAACAGCAGTGTTAAGTTTTTCTCTTTGTCCTACAGCTCTGTGAAATGGCTGCCAGGGTGACTCCAAGGGGATGTGCATATCTAATGCACAATGACCTCAGTCTGAGCCCTTCCTGGCAACTCAGTGCTTGGAGTGTCCGGGGCAGATCTTCGGCTTTATTGCAAGGGATTCATTTTTCTCTTGCCTTGTTCTTTGGTGGCAGCACTACAATCTACTGTATCACTTTCTATTTTCCCTTTCCTCTAATGAACCAGCTGACCATCTTATTAACTCGACCAAAATGGGGTACAAAGGTGCTGTTGTGGTTCCTCTGCCCTATGGGTGAACTGCAGTTAATTGTTCTTACTCACTCAAGAATCACACATTACCCCTGATTTAGTTCTTGCACATTTGTCTGAAGATGGGACACTTCCCTAATTTTCAATTGTGTTTCCATCAGAATGATTGCATAACATCCTTTCACATCTTATTTTTTTTAAAAAGAATACTTGAGTAATAACATATATGCAAAAGAACAGTGAATAATTATTGTAAAAGCACGTGAATAACAAGCAAATAGAACAAAACATTAAAAGCAACTGGCTAGATAGTTCAGTGGTTTAGGTATGCAGCTGTGGGGCCAGAGGTTGGGAATTTGATTCCCTGCTGTGTCTCCTGTGAGTAGAGCCAGCCTGTGTGGTCTTGGGCAAGCGACACAGTCCCAGGGCACCCCCAGAAGAAGGGAATGGTAAACCACTTCTGAGTATTCTCTACCTTAAAAATCCTGAAAAGGGTCACCATAAGTGGGAATTGACTTGATGGCATATTGAATATTATTGCTGTGTTATAATGACAGTAACAAGCTCCCCGTAGTGTTATTTTTTTCAAGAAGGCAGGATAGAAATCTTCACAATTATTATTAAAAAATACCAGACATGGTCAATCAAAATTATAAAACCATTGATTCGTATTATGTAACAGGTACAAGTTCTAACCAGTAATAGTAGTAGTAGTAGTAAAAACAGCAAGGATATAAACACACATTGAGGGGGGGAAGCTGTATTTTTGAATCATCAGCCTAACTAAAACAGCTTTAAGCCTGTTGCTACAAGCTGGAAGTTCCAGGTGACCAGACATGGTCAATCAAAATTATAAAACCATTGATTCGTATTATGTAACAGGTACAAGTTCTAACCAGTAATAGTAGTAGTAGTAGTAAAAACAGCAAGGATATAAACACACATTGAGGGGGGGAAGCTGTATTTTTGAATCATCAGCCTAACTAAAACAGCTTTAAGCCTGTTGCTACAAGCTGGAAGTTCCAGGTGCCCATAAATGAATCTCCACAATCACACCATCATTTTTTGGAATGATGTAGCACATTCTGGGATCAATGTGAAAAAGACATCTCTGTCATTCATCTATACCTGGAGAGGAAAATAAAGAAGAACTAGGAGCACACTGATCATATGGCATGTGACAATTTGTAAGATGCTTTGGTGTCAGGCATTTGTTTAGGGCTCTAAAGGTCAAAAACAACACCTTAAACTGAGCCCTGTAACAGACTGGTAACCTGTGGAGCTGATGGAGAGTCATCAGAGCATGCAACCATATCTACTGTCTGCATTCTGGACAGAACATAATGATAAAATAGTAGGTAAAACCCATAAGCATTTCACTGAGGGTGCAGGAAAGGCACACCCTGATTGCACCAGAAAAAAAAAATTGCTTTACAGGAAGCAATCTCCCCCTTAAAGTTACCCTTCAGTTCACTGGGTTATCACTAAGTCCCAATAACTAGTAGCCTTACAGCTGGTTTAAAAAGGTCCACCTTGGGCACAGATCAGGGCTGGCTTAGAGCTCAATTTCCCATATGTTGTGTGATTGTCAGGAAATAGATCTTAGCAGACCATTCCACCAGCAGCCCAAAATGTGATCCATTTCCCCACATGATCACATCCTAAGATCACTGGGCTTACTCCAAAGTATACAAATTTGGGAAGTTTAACACCACATTTAAGCGGACAATATTATACATGTCTTCTGAAAAATAAGTCTTATTGCCTTCAGTGAGGCTTACCTCCAGGAAATCTGTCACAAAACGATAGCCTTTAAAGAGAGGTGGTTGACTTACTGTCTCGTTCCAGTGCAGAATACTGGAGAGGCAAGATGAGGGTCAATTTATAGCATATGTTATCTGATATACATTCATGTTATATAGTTGCTAGCTTTGCTTGAGTGCTGTACCCCCACCCTTTATTTACAGAGTTGCTCCATTACAAAAAAAGAAAGAAAAGAAAGAAAAAGAAAAGAAGATTATTCAAGAAAGAATTGTCAACAGACAGTATTAATTCCCTGCCTCTTAGAAATAAGATATGGCACAATAAGGAAAAAACCCTCATGGGCAAGGCAATAGATCTGAGACAAACATTTTTCTGCTGAGAATTATTTGCAAGCATAAGGTTTCCATATGACTTGATCTAATTCATAAATAATGATATGTGATTTTCAACAACACAGGGGAAACACCCCTCCAAACACCAAGGCAGTTAAGATAATCTGCAAACTGTTCTCTATGTACATCTTTACATAAAACACAGATCCTTTGTGTATATTATTTATCGTATGTACCCAGGCACCTGGAACAAAATGATGATTAGTAATCTGACACACTTGACCTTGAACAAGCAATGCAGGAGGACATATTGCTCCCCAATGCTTAAGAAAGAAGACAGATGAAACCTTAGGCAACTTTCTTGGTCAAATGCTCTATCTTTTATTTTGACATCAAGACCTTGGAGATAATCTCTCTTAAAAGCTGTTGTTATGAAATGTTCTGGCCAACAGTGGTACTAGTTGATAAACCATCTTCCACCAATGTGGTTTTCCCTGAAATTATCAAGGATAGAGCCCTTTTCAGATATGACAACCTGAATGGACAGTTCTAATTCTGGCCCATACCAGTTCTGCACATGTTAATTTATAAGCAACTTTTGTCCTGTTTTCACATTAAACTGTAATTTTAAAAATAACTACAAGAGAAGTGTTTACACATATTATTTGACTAGGTATTTTGAATATGTATTCTCGAAGGCTTTCATGGCCGGGATCCGATGGTTGTTGTACGTTCTTCAGGCTGTTCTTTATTTAATAAGCATAAAGGTTACAAGGCAATCTAATAAGCCTGAAGTCCCATGTGATAAAAGAATCAAATGTCCATGCTAGAAGAAGTTCTATGAGAAAAAACTCCCTGGAAGCCCACACTCCTCTCCTGAGTTAACTCTTTGTTAACTATTAATGCTCTCCCTCAACCAACCGTTCTTCTATCACTTGACGAGATGCGATTGGTTCAGCAAGAGATTCTCTGACCAATCAACTCCTGGCAGATTTGTCACATCATCAAAAGCCCAGATGTGGAGATTGTCCTCTGTATCATCAGCAGACTGGCATCTGTTCTGCTTCTTAAGATCTTTTTATTGGTCTTAGAAAAGGTTAACATGTATCCCGTAGTTTTAAGGGGCAATCCAAATGCAACGGTTAAGCCAGCTGCACTGGGTTCGACATGAGCAGAAAAGCCTCTTTTGCTGGCAGAAGAGCCCCCTCTGCTGTCTGACCTCAGATCTGCCAGTACAACTTGATCAGTTACAAATCAGTACAAATTGTTGTGCTGGCTGAGATCAGCTGGCAGAAAAGCCCAACCTTTAAAAAGAAAGAGTGTGGAGAGACAAGAGGAGAAGTGAGCTCAGTTATGTCAGATCTGAACCCCTCTCAGTTTAGATTCACAGCCTCTGTGTCAGCATAATGCTGTGCCAGGATCAGGATAATCCTAAATAATTTCCAACATCCCTTGTCTGGGATAGTGTTGGATTTAGTACAGCCTTAGTGAATTTAGTGTTAGCTTTGCCAGCCTGCAGCCATCTTGGCTAACTGTTGGGATTATCTTGGGGTCTTCCTTCCTTTTTTCTCTAAAATATGCATATTTTGCTTCTAATATTGTTATAGGTTGCCTTGAACACTGTTTCAGCAGTGGGCGTCTTGATATCTCAGTGCAGGAACAGGTGATACTTTTATTGGGCTGCTTAAACAAAATAACAAAACAAAACAAAAAAACAAATGGAAAACTTTGGATGGCAATTTATCTTCCTTGGGCTGTGCACCGTTGTTATAGGTTGCCTTGAACACTGTTTCAACAGTGGGCGTCTTGATATCTCAAGGCAGGAACAGGTGATACTTTTATTGGACTGCTTAAACAAAATAACAAAACAAAAAACAAATGGAAAACTTTGGATGGTAATTTATCTTCCTTGGGCTGTGCACCAAGCTCTTGTGGGTAGCTCCAAAATTATATGTTTTTATTCAAGTCCCAAAGTCTCATGGCCGCTGTTAGGAGCCAGGTGTAGCTTTTGAGATGGAGATAGCTATAGCCTGCAGTCTGCAAGAGGCCTGTTGGAGTAGGGTTTGGCTTCAATCCCTTCTTCAGCCATTGGCTTGGAATGCATCACCCATCTCTCTAAACAAAAGGTGGCCAAGCATTCTGACCTTCCCTCATTTCCCACTTCTGCCTTCTTTTGAAACACAAAGAGTCCCTAAGGAACAACTCATGAGAACTTGGTGCACAGCCTGAGGAAGATGAATTATCAAAAGATTGCTGTTTGTTTTTTGTTTTCTTATATTTTTTTAAAAATGGTCTAATAAAAGCACCATCGCCTGTCGATTGCTGTTTGTTTTTTGTTTTCTTATATATTTTTTAAATGGTCTAATAAAAGCATCATCACCTGTCCCTGCATTTGCATTGTTTTGGGGACCACACAGCATTTTCCTGATTTTTCCTGGATATCTTAACTGTTTAAAAATGATCAAAGGCATAAATCAAGGTATTGATTCTGGTTTGGAACACAGAGTGTAGCTTCTTTAAGTTCACCAATACTGTTAGGCAGCAAATAAAAAAGGAGGTCTTAGGTGCATCAAAGCTGATACAGATTGTGGGGGAACTGAATTGTTTTTTGTGGGGAACATTTAAAGTGCTTTTGAATTTCTCTTTCACTGTTTGTGTAATGTAGAAATGTTGTTAATGGCAGCCATTAATGTGGAAAATTATTCAGTTCTACCGTCTTGCTGTCTCCTTACTTTTACCTGCAGTTTGACAAGCTCATGTTACAAGACAGCAGAGCAGAACATGATTAACAATCTAATCTGATAGATGTTGTCCCAGAAATATACTTCATTGAAATCAATGGGACATAGTTAAACTTATACAAGGCTGTATTTTTAGTTTCTCAGCTTTTATCTAGCTGCAAAAACAGTTGTAGATTTCTCAATTCAAGCATTGGTACACAGTTGCTCATAAACAAACCCTCCAAGCACATAGCTTTTTATAGTAAAGCACCTTGTATAACAAAGCTCTGTATTAAACAGCGTGGAATTAAGCCTTTTATAAACAAAGCTTTATAATGGAATTTCACTCATGAAATGCATCAATATCTGAACCATTTCCCAAACACTTTTGAAATGTGGTGAACATCCTGATTCTCAAATGTTCCACTAGAAATGATTTCTCCCAGCAAATACTTGATCACTGTTTAAATATTGCATGAATAATCAGTAATTAGGTTTAAGGGGACTTAGTCATTGTGCACAGTGTTCACACCATGCTTTTTTTGTGCCATAGCAATGCTGTGTTGTGTGACAAGTACTAGTTGTTACTGTTAACAAGTGCTGAAGTCTGTTTGATAAGAAGGCTGCCAGTTAGAAAAATTCACATTCTCAGAATTAGAGGCGAGTGAAAATTCCTTACTAGTGTTGTTTTTTTCTGACTGTCATAACACACCTTTTTATTGCATTTTGGTGCTTGTTGCAAAAAAGCACTCCTCATAACAGTTCAAGATCCAGAGCCCCCAAAATGTAGGTCTGCTGCGGTCTTCTCAAAAGCCAGACTATTCATCAATAGACTAAGCTTTTCGCTAATATAAATTGGCTAATTAGTATGTTAGGGGAAAAGCAATAGCCTGGTCTTTTCCTTGAGATAACACTCCCTTCTCAGCTCCAGTACAGCCCCCCCACCACAGTCATGCTGGAGTCCAGATGTTCTGCTTTCTTGTCCACTCTAACAAGGGTAGCAGACAAGAAATGAAAGAAAAATAAAAAACAAAGAAGACAAAAACACTGTGGCACCTTAAAGAATAACTGCTATACATTTCAATGTGAGTTTTTATGAACAAGTCCACTGCCTGATATGCTAGCACAGACTAACATGGCTACCTCTCCTAAAATTTTAACAAGAGAGTTGCTCCTGCATGATTGGCCAAGAAGTTGGGGTGTTTCCTGAACTGGAACTATTGTGACTGATGGTTGTTATGGGTTTTTCGGGCTCTTTGGCCGTGTTCTGAAGGTTGTTCTTCCTAACGTTTTGCCAGTCTCTGTGGCCGGCATCTTCAGAGGAGAGCACTCTGTGC